CCCCGCTTTGATTATGACTTTGAATATAAATGTAAAGAAACCTCTTGACTAGACTGGAACACACACACAAGGCAATCTCTTCTCACAACTCAGCGTTGCCACTACCCTCAGAATTATGGCCCACTTACTGTGATCCTCTCCAATACACAGCAAATACAAAAATTCACATAGGGTTCTAGCAGGTCACAAGCAACTATCATCTAATTTCTGGTAAGGTACCTTTACAGACAGAGTATTAGGCCCCACCAGCCCACCTGAACATTCATGGGAGTGGGGGGGAGAGAGAGAGAGAGAGAGAGAGAGAGATGTCATTTCCTACCATCTTTCAGCATTATTGCTCCCCAGGCTTTTCTTTCTATGCAGAGGTCTGCAAAAGAGCATTTCCCCTCTTTCTCAAACATACTAGCTTCTTCTCCCCCTTCCAATTTTACATCAGTTGTGGGTTTCATTGTTTTTGGTTGGTTTGGGGTTTTTTGTTTTTGCTTTTTTTCCCCCCTTTTCCTAAACTCAGTTTCAGACTTTGTAGTTATTCCCTTGTCCTGCCTGGGATTCACAACCTGCTATAATTCACCTCTCGCTCCTCTTCTATTAAGAGAGCAGCTGACACTAGAACTCTCGGTTTAACACAGAGTATTTATGTATTTTGAAGTCTTAAGCAAATTATAAACTTCTCAAGTGTGGTGATGATAAAAATCCTTGATCTTGTAGGCCTATTATCCCTTTGTATTTGACACTCAATATAAAACATCAGTAAGGTGATCAAGACGAAGATTAGCACAGACACCAAGGCATGTACATACATGTAATTTACTCTCCCCCTCCCTCTGTTAATGCCAATTTCCAACTGAAGCCTGGCCTGCAAGCCTAAAATTTACGTTCCCCCACAACATAATAGCTTGCAAACCAATTCAGCTCCTTGCTTAATCAACCGCTAAGCCAGCACTCCCCAACTATTTAGTCCTACTCATTTTCCAAGAGGACACAAGTTTATGCCTCACTCCCAATGCAGTTAGCATATTGCGATGCTGCAAACAGAAATACCATACTTGCTTTTCCTCACATACTAAGTATCTCTTGCAGCTTCCAAAGGAGAAAGAAGGGCTCCCCGAAGCATGGGAAACTATTCTCTATGCTCATTACCTACCCACTTTTTCCACAGGACAGCAAGTCTGACATCCTTGGCTTTTCAATAAGTTAATCCAACAGTAAAATCAAGTTTAACTGTTTTTCCAGGTGAAATCAAAGGATGTAGCAAAGGTGAATTGACACAAGAAGATGCATTTGATACAAAGGAACTATAGATGAAAACTATACAGAGCAACTATAACTTCGGCTCTTCAACACTTGCTGGTTTGTGAAAAACCCCAGACTTTTGACCTGTTATTTTAATCCATGTCAGAAATATGTTTAGTTTGTGTCTCAAAATGCGATGAGACATCAAAAAATTATAACACAAGCCCATGTTACCTGAACTGCCACTAGCAATCATTAAAGAAAAGTTCTGGTGTTTAAATCTCCCCAGAAGTCCGAGATAAGATTGTGACAGGAACTTTGCATACTACCCCATCTTCTTCCTCATGTATCTGTCAACTCAGTCCTTGTATAAGGCTGCATCAAGTCTCAAGTTTTCCTGAGAAATACCACAAACAAAAATTCTTCATTCTATTTATGGCAACATCAAGACCCAAGGCACTTCTTGTTTTGTATATTATATGAAGGATGGAGTAACTCCTGTACTGCATATCACTATAAAAATGTGACATTTTCCAGAGAGCTTAAAAACAACCTACTGTGGTTGGGGGGGCAGCAGGGTGGTGTTTGATTTGCTTTTTTAACCAGTACTTTACAAGATATAAGATTTCCAACATGTTTTACATAGTTTTGTGTAGCTTGTCGTCAGCGGTGTACAGGGTGCTTTGAAGGCAGATCACAGTAATCACAACACTTCATGCCAGACTGATTGAGCCCCAAAAATTGTACCACTGGGGGGGTTCATGGGTGACCTAACCCAACACTGCTCTAAGGACATGATAGGGGCAGACAGCATGGAATAGGATTGGGGAAAGAAGCATGTTTAAAAGCTCTGATGGGAAACAAGTTCTCAAACATTAGGGAAATTTTCATAGTATTAGATCCCTTAAGGCTGGGAAAAGTATTACATCATCAACCTAGTTGGTCCTGCTGTTTATCCTGTGAGGTGAAGATGGGGACTTATCCCTCAGCATACCACCCCTTCCTGCATCCTGCATATCCCCTAGGAAATCTAATGAGCTGCCCAACAAAGAAAACGATGAGTCAAAAGGTAAGGGATGAGCATTACCCTTCAAAAATGCCTACGCTTGTGGCAACAAAACAGACCTTAATGTTTCTGCAGAACCAAACTGTGCTGAGTATCTTGACTTTCCCACTTCAAGCCTAAGGAGCATTTGAGCCAGAACCGAAGTGGAGTTATTTGACATGTGTGCCAGAAGAGTTATGGTGTCCAACAGAGATGTTGTTTATGGCACATGGTTTAGATTACCAAGAAGACAGGAGATACTGTTACCTTTTAGGCACCGAGGAAGTTTTGTTCCAAAGGCAAGGAAGTGGGTGGCAACGTTCCAGAATATAACAGTAGACAGCTTATGCGACACCTTGGTGACAAAGATCTGGAGATACAGTGAGCAGAGCTTGAATGGGTACTAGCAAAACCTGCTTTCTCTCTCCTGTGCCTTCACCTTTTCCACCTTTTCAGCAGACCTTCCTCTCCTTGCTTAGGAATGCAGCACTCTCTTCCATCCCAAACTTCATGTTTTTAATCAGGCAAGAAGGCAGAACATTTTAATTTTTTTTTAATGCACTTATACCCCTGGATAAGAGATGGTATCAACCTAAAATACTGAACTAAATGTTCACAGGATTACATCCCAAAAAATCTAAGTGAAAGGACATACATACTTTTCCTAAAATTACTTTTTCCTACCATGATTCTCTAGTTCGATGGGTTCCCCTGGAAGAATGACTTACAGATGGTACATATCTCTAATGTGCTCCTCTCCCCAAAACAGTAAGCATCTGGCATGCCTACTGTTTAATTACACAATAGGCTCATGCAGGAGGAAACATTTTCAAGCCTGGAAGCTTATGCTCAAACTCCAATTATACCCAGTAGCAGGAGCTGTTCACGGTCAAGAAAAAAGTTTGCAAATGGAAGGAGAAACACTATTAAGACACAGCAAGTAGGTATTCAATAAGTTTTTATATATGTGAAGACGACCATGTTTGAATGGGAAGAGGCTGACACAATACAAATTTTACAAAAAGCTGTATGAGAACTTTGTGAAATTGCTGACGACCACTGATCATAAACATGAAGACTCAAGCCACAAAACAGCCCTAGTTTATTCTGGAAACTAATATAATCTGACTACATCTCTGGATTTTTAGGTGTATACTGAGTTTAAATAGACCTCACCTATTATTTTAGCCTACCATCTTCAGAAATACGTATTAAAGTCATTAATCTGTAACTTTTCTATTCTAACAAAATGCTTCCAGGAAGACTGACACCCCAAATTCCGTAATTGCTGAATAGTGCACTCCCTCTGCTGGCACAGCACAGATGTCACACCTTCGCAGAGGCATTCTGATTACACTAATCTCTAGCTAAGAGGTCCATGCATTACAACACTTCTTCACATATACACCTGCTGTAGCCATGCTAACATTAAAAAAATGTCTGCTAAATGACTTCATAAGAGAAACTTTCAAAGGTGCCCATTAATAACTGACTTCCCTGATGAAAACCTTGCAGGAGCGCAACAAGACACCATGGGCCACAATCCTCGGTCAACTAAAAATCAGTGCTCGTCAGGTTAGCAGTAGTTTTCAAGGTGAAAAGTTTCTAAAGGCTTACTGTTGTAGAATTTCTAATCATGTGACAAGTAGTTCTAAGACATCAAAGAAAACACACACAAAAGCCAGAGTTAGCAGCAGCAAGCTGACGTTAACAATCCCATTCAGTCACGCAAGGGCTGCGTTTTCACTGTTTGCCTATGTTTTAATGAGATGTGAAAATCTTCCAGAAGCATTGTTTTAAGACACCCTGTGCCTCCTCACACGGAAACAAAACACCTACATTTTAGACTCCCCGAGAGCACCATACTAGATTAATTTAGTACCTATCTTAATCAGAAGAGCTGCAAGAAAGTAAAATCTTTCAAGCCACCTTTGAAACACCTAATATTTTGGCTTTGCGGCAAAAGGTTAACCCTCAGCTAATGGAGGTGCAGGTTTTGTTATGCAATAGACAAGAAAGTTAAGGTTTAGCAGTGAATAATTACAAGGAGTTTCGTCATCACTCACTAGTAATACACTAATTGACTCCCTGTGTCACATAAGCAGCTGCTATTCCCTCTGCCCCTTTTAGGCTCTGAAATATTAGAATGAAAACCTGATTTTTGAATGGGCTTCATATGTTAATAAATAAGGGAACAACCATATGTTTTAGCCTGCAGTCAGGCTGATTTCTTCCCACTGAAGGCTTCAGTTTAAATATCAAAAAGGGAAGGTAACTTTACTTCAAAGTTAATGAACACTTTGTGAACTTTCTTTTCCTTCTTGCTCATTTATTTCGCAGAAAATATGTAAGTGCTTTCTCACTAGTGTACAAAAAAACACCTTAGGTATGCAGAGATGAGGGTTGTCTTCCCCAAGAAACACAGATACAGGGGGAGAAGAATGAATGATTTACAAGAAGGACTAGAAGGAGAAGCATTAAGTGTTGTTTTGTGTACATACCTTGCTCTTCTAAACAGCTAATAGGTATCTTTGCAACAAATTATATTTCACACAACAACCAGAACAGTCTAATACAACAATCAACCTCCGGGTTACTCCAAGATGAAAAATGAACCTGTGGCCTAATAGGTGAAAGTAATTGTTTCAGACAACTGAATTTTAATTGCTTACTGGTTTTGAATTAAGACATCAAAAACAAGTGTTGGTAACGGGGCACTTACCTTACAAACAGCCATGATGTTAACGTTGATCATTTTGTCAATTGTCTGCAAGAAAACAAAGTTTTCCATTTTCTCAGTTCAAGTTATTTGATCAATATTTACACACTCTCTGGGTTACAAGTGCCAGGATAAATTCAACCTTACACTTACACATCCACCTTTACTCCTTGCCTTCCTGCTTATGTATCAGGAGCAGTGACAGACTTTCAAAGCAAAGTCTGTGAATTTCTTTTGGTCAAGTTTTGTCTCTGATTAGGGACTCATAGCAATAAAGAACAACACAGATGTATCACATTGACACCGTATTTCCTAACGGTATTCGCAATATTTATAAACTTTAATAAATTCTGATTTTTTAGACATGAATAGACATAACTATTATGAAGCTTAATTGAAGGTGAACCAAAAACCAGATACGTTTATCAATGGTATGTGCAGAAAGCACAAACCCACAGTGAATACAGTTAGCTACAGGGGGGTTGGAAACAAAATCACGCACTAGTAGATGTGTTCATAGTCAGAGTTCAATGCAACCAAGACTGTCCCTACATTACAAAGTGTCTAAAACTATCATATTTAAGTTTCATAACAGTGTTATGGAATATGCAGCTTCCACTCATGAAGACGCTTGCTTCCCGTCCCTTCAGTCACTTAAGAACCTCCCCACAAGCTAAAGCAGCTCAACAACAGCCACCAGATGAGACCATGGACAGGAGTGGCATTCAAATATTGACCCCAGAGCATCTGTCTGAAATAGAAATATAAAATGAAGCACCAGGGAAGAGTGTACATAAAAAAACACCACAAAAAAAAAAAATCATGAGTTGTGTTACGTTGCTTATGTAAATGTCTTAGCTTTTGAACGCTTAAATCTAATCTGAAAACTTTGAATGCGAGTACCTTAACCAAACCTAAATACTTTTGCCACATCCATTAAAGCATTTAGTGCTAAAAATGAGAACACTAGAAGGTACTACAAAAGCACTTACTGTATCCAGCTCTGGAACATCAAGAAAATATTCAGGATAAGCATATGAAATTCCCACGTTGTTGACTGAAATGAAAGCATGAAGTTTTAATTAGATTGCTTGGTTGCCATCTGATTGCTAATGCTCTGATTAATTTTCAAGCAATACTCTTAGAATGTTTTAAATGCAACATTTTAATTCCTCTAGCCAAGTTTCCTTAACTGTAAATATTAAACTGTAAACCGTAACTTCCTCTAGTGAGAGGTGTTCCTGCCCATAGCAGGGGGGTTGGAACTAGATGATCTTTAAGGTCCCTACCAACTTTAACCATTCTATGACTCTTTGATAAATATACTTGTACACACACAAGTGGAACGTGAGAGTGAATACTCAAACCATTTCAAATGCGTAAATGTTAATTCTCCAATTGTTTAAAAGCTGGCATATTTAGCACATTGTACCCATCTTCCGCCACTTTTCACAGCGCGGGGGAAGAACGCTGCTTCTTTTAGAAACGCCAGCGCACACCCTGCAAGTGTACGGGCGACATCGCTGCAACACGGAGATGCAGTCGCAGAAATGGGAGTTTCAAGCCAAAGAAAAGCTCTCAGTGCCTGGCAGGACATTAAGAGAAACTGTTTAACATCTCTCTCTTTTTTTTTTTTTTTTTTTGAATAAATAAATAAATGAGTGAAATAAGACACAAAAGAGTCTCCTGGTAAGTCTCCCCAGTACTTCTCCAGCCAGTCGCTCCCTTCCCCAGGTGTCCGCGGGGGGGAGGGGGGGGGGGAGCCCCTGCGGCGGGGGCCGGCCGGTGCCTCGGTCGGTGCCTCGGTCGGCAGGTGGCAGCAGGAGCCCAGGCTCTGCCGGCCCGGGAGGGCTGGAGGCACCGCCGTCGGTGAGGGCGAACGCCCGGCGCCGCGCATCCCCCGTTTCCCACGGAGATTATCCGCCTTTAGAAAAAAAGGGGTTCTGGTTTGCTGTGGCTGCGTAGTCACGGGCTCCTGACATCCGCAAAATCTTTCCCCCTTGGCAGCGTTTAGAATTAACCGAGAGAATGTATTAATTACTTAAAACCAATTTATTAATTATTTTTTTTCCCCAACACTTCAGACTGGCGAGGTTTTATTCTCAGACATTAAACCGATATCTATTCCCGAATCCCAAATCAAGTAGGGGAAAACTTCTCATACCACCAGAAAACAATGCCGCTCTGCAGCCTCCGTTGCCTCCAACTTAATAAAGCATATTGATATGGAGACCAAAAAAAAAAAAAAAGCTAGCAAATGGGATCTCCGTTTCCTAAGTATCTGTTGTTCATCTTACGCAAGTGAATCGTGTGACATTTGGTTGCTGTGGCAACATTTTACATTTATATAGTGTCTTACACCCCAGAGAATCCCAAAGTGCTACATATGCTCAACGGCACTGTGTACCTCCAGGGCAGGAGTCTACAGGGGTAAGAAACACTGTCAAAAAGCAGTGATGCCTTTTTATTTTTGTTTTATTTTTAATAAAATACCCCCTACACCTGTGCCAAAAGCTATCATTTTAACATCCAACCTGAAAGATATTTAAGTATCAACAGGGATGCAGGACACGCAGGAGAGATTCTGGCAAAGTGCACAAACTTCATTCAGCGATTCCCTTGAATGACAGCTCTTGTAGTTCAGATCTTTGTGTATTTATAGAAACCCTTACTTCCCTAGTCATGTTGTGTGTTTCAAACTTTTAACTTCTAGATAACCTTTAAAAATACAGGAATTGAGGAGAACAGGGAGTTGGCAAATTCCCAGCAGACATTTGCTATATTTAGAAAGAGAGAAAAGTTTTGAAAGGGAGGAAGGTTCAATCTTGCTATTGTGAGAGCGAGCCAGATTTTTTTCCTTTTTTTCATCCCAAAATAAACAATTTTTCAGTTCGTTTCTCTGGAAAATATTTCAGCTGTGAATAGTGGCAGGGTTTTGGGGACTAACCTTGGTTATTATCTCAAATTCAGAATATTTATATGATTCACGCTACAGAGACAGCCCTTACTGCAAACTGGGTCCCAGATATTTACCCCTCCACTCTCAATCACCTTTCTACCAGATCACACTTTGCTGCAGTTTGGAACAGAACATTAACAAAATTAGGTTTCAGTTTGCACAGGCGTATTTTACCTAGAGAAATCTGGATAACAACAGGGTAAGATACTGTCCAGCTCAAATGCCTTTCGAGAATCACAGCCATTTAAGAATAGCAAAAGAAAGATTTCCCACCTCTGCTTGTTTAACATATTGCTGTAGCTAGCACATGTTCGAAGTCACTGACAGACGCTGTTTTGAACACACAGCAAAACATTATGCAAACTCTTTTAGCCTTCATACGTGGGTGAGAAGAAGCTTCCAAATAAGAAGTTTACAGGGATTTCAATCTGTACTTTAGTTAGACTCTGTGCAACTATATAATCAGAAGCTCGATCTCGAGCAGTATATGTGGAGACTCCTGCATCTCTTAAGTGTGAGGCTAAAAAATAATCAGCATCAATCACTGGCAACTGTGCTGTGCTACCGATGCTCCTCATACCTACCATACCAGATGAGACTTGAAAGAAGAAAATATATAGGAACCTGAGAATTCATTCCTTATGGCTGTTCTCATTTAAACGCATGTTTTCCCTCACACATGTGAAAAACGCAGATCAGCAAAAGCTATATTCCAGATTGCAACAAATGCTACAGAATTTAAAATATAAGGCACTAAAGCATGAAATTAATTGCCATTAAAAAATTAAGATACAGTCTTTCTGGAGTAGTCATCACCTGTGTTGAAAAGTTACACTGGCAAGTAGTTTCTATTAATACAGCTATAGCTGGGGAAAAGAAAAAAACCTACGTATCATGTAATCTGATGAGCCCAAGCATGAGATTTACTAAAACTGCTAGTGATTAGTTAGAAGAGAAATTTCTGTAAACCTGCACTGGCAATGGCTGCAAGAAAAAAAAAAAAAGCAGAGGAACTCAGCTAGAGAATATACAACTCGAGCATTTAGTTGCTATTTTTACCATATTTTCAGTCAAGGTGCTCATGCAAATAAAAGCAAGAACCAGGCTCTGTTTGAGGAACGTGCTTGTTTTCCTGTAATAAGCTTATACAAAATTTGAGACACATTCACTGCTTTAGTACCCACTTTAAGCAAGATTATAGAGAGTCAGATTTTCATGATTTTGTGCATCACTATAACCTTATCAGAGCCTAAGAAATAATAAAAACCCCAGTGTGGGGTACATGTACCTCACACAGTAAAAGGTTTGCTGGTGTTTTGAAACATTTAAGTGATACACTGTTCCGCAGCAGTTGCCACGTGACAGGCAGCTTGCAAGCCTTACATTCCCTGAGTTGATTTTGACAGGACAGATTAGAACAGACACTAATTTTAATCTTCAATGTTTCTTTTGGAACTTATTTCCTTAAGAAACAAGAAACAGGGCATCCACAGCTTTGTCACAACCACTCTTTACACAAAACACATTGTTGGCCGTTGCAGCTACTCCAAGGGATTTGAATTTTTATAGCAATTAAATACCACACGTCATAAGTTGCGTGTACTCAAATCTGTCAGAAGTATCCTTTTTTAACTGAGTTTTTATACACACCATTTTCCTGGGCATTATTTGCAGACATCATACAACAAGATTCATTTATTAGCAACAAAGTTCATATAGTATATCATCATGTGTGTAATTAATTTGTTTTGAAATATGCTTTTTTAAAAAAAAAAACAGTTCTAGCTCCAATTATTGCACTTCAGATTCGTAAAATGAATTTTGTAGTGAGAAGTACTTCAGATCAGTAAAATGAATTTTGTAGTGAGAGGTCCTCTATCAGAGGGCATATACCAGTAGACATCCAAGTCACAACTGTGCAAAATGTCATGCCTTATGTTTAACCGTCACAGGTTCTCATCCCCATATTGAGTAAGTGTAGAAATATAGGATATACACAGGTATATGTGCTTCTACGGAAAGAACAGGGAAACTGATAAGAAACTGCCTTCACACCACTGTTCAGAAAAGATTCAGGTAGAATGCTGTTATGTTTAAACTCCTAACTTGTGACAATCACCTTAGTTCTGCATTTGACAAAGCAACTGGATGGATCACCTTGTTTTTTCAAGTACTACCACACAACCTACACTCCTGCAATACCACAAACCATACTCTGGCATATTGTGTGCTAACAGCAAAAGAACAAGAGCTTACCAACATGACCAGAACACACTTAAAACTTCTGAAGCAGGAGCCAGTTACTTGATGCTATGCTGCAATGATTAAATTTCAACAGCTCTATAATTATAAGTTAATAGTTCTCCCACAGGGCTCTACTGCTAAGCTGAATCTAAGTATCTGGAGCTTGCTTAGGTTCTAGGACAGCATTAGGTCAAGCCACTGTGCACGCAGTCATAAGTTAAAGAGCCTTTAGCAACCACAGAATAACACATTCAATAAGCATTGCAATTTCTGGAACCTAAGCACACATGCAAGCACCATCTCCTGTAGTGTACCAACAGGAAGCTACAAAAAAACACATATCAAGCATGCTGCAACATAGTTTTAGTCAAACATTAGCTTTTGGGAATTGGTTTCAATGAACTTCAATATGGGAAAAAGTTAGTAGGCGTGTCACGACGAAACACCACTATGAGAGATTTAGATCAGATACAAACCTAAAACACCGATCTCCAGGCCTTCCAATCCTGCTTTGATTCTACTGTAAATATCTTCTCTCTCTCCAAAGTCTGCCACAATGACTTTTGTTTCCACTTTGTAATTTTCCTCTAGAAAAAAAAAAGTTTTTTAAAAGTTTAAGCTTGAAATAGTTGAATTACCATTCAGATATTAAGAATATATCAGTTATTATGGTTTTACAAAACATTATGTTAAGTAGCTAATATTACACATTAACATTTTCACCTCTGCAATAGGAGTCCTTGAATTTTAATACAACCTGTAGAAGAAGTTTGCAACATTAAACTACTTCTGGTGAGAACATGAATTCTCAAATGATTAAGCATTTTACTTGTAAGGGACTATGAAGATGACAAGAAAACAAATTATACAGGTTTGCACAGAATCAAAAAAAATGCAGAAATCAAAAAATGCATGTACACAATGGTGTTCAAGTACAATTTGAGCAGAGCACTTTTTTTCCAGCTTAAGCCAAATGGTAAATGAGTTGCTTCAGACCAAGCAAAACAATTCTTTATTGCCTTCTGTTTTTATTCTCAATTCTGGTGCCATAAAACTTTTTGAATATTTAGTATTTTTAACATAAATCAAAAAGGGAACGTGTGGGTGAACAAGAAGAGCAGAACTTCAGTTTAATCATTCCAAAAACGTTCTGATATGCCGTCATCTCCATCCTTAACAGAACAGGAAAAATACACGTAGCCAACTACATTTTGAAATAGAAAAAGAAAGCAAGTATTAAAAATACTTCATATAAAAGGCAATTCTGTTCCCATCAAGCTAAATTAATTACATTGAATTAAAATCAGTACATGTCCTCTCAGACTTCGAAAGAGCAGAATAGTAGCTTAACCTCGCAGCATCTCTGTTCTGTTGCACCCGACTCCCACCCCAGTGTTCCTTAAGGAACCTGTATACAGCTTGAGAAGGATTTTGCAGCACTTTGCCCCCAAAGCCATTCATAAAAGCAGTGCCATGTTAAAGGAAAAGAACCATTCACAAAAAGATTAGAAGCAGCCAGATTCCCATGATGCTCCTTCCCATTCAAGGGAAAGCCGCGACTCCCATGATCCTGCCGTCCATTCATGCAGAATCATGAATCTACTGAACTCGCTGGTTTGCTGGCTGCCTCCCCTCCCTCCCCCCCCCTCCCCAATAGCCCTAATGGCAGATGAAATTATTTCTCCTCCTTTTCCCTCTCCCCACCCTCAACCTCTTCATCTCTCCTGAACAGCTGCATTGTTTAAAAATCCCCTGAGAGATGTTGCTATGTCAAATGACGACGTAAATAGCATTAAGCCCCTACTGCAGCAGCAGTCTTGTGATCGCGTCAGAAGAAAATCAAGTTCAACATGGAGGGGGGGGTAGAAACAGTCTATTTTTGAACACAGCTGTTCTAATATTTAGCATACACATTCAAGTTCTTACAGGACACTGAATTAAAGGCAGCGTTAGAGGCACATCTAATACGTGCAAGTGGACTGGGCGGGCAGAGCCCAAGTTGCACACTTCCACACACGTGCCATCTTTAACTGTTTTGTGGGGTCCGCAGCTGTCTTCACTGCCACTCAGATGCCTCATGAAATGCGAGTTGTTTAAAGAACCCAAACACCATCCTTACAAATTTGCTCAATTGGCCCTGGCCTTTTTTAGACTAAACACTCTTCATTAGGATTGTTACCAATCTATCTTCAAAGCCTTTTGAAATCACTAAAGGGCTACTGAGAGGACGAGGTAAGAAAAAAAATATCCAAACACCTAATACTATAAATAGAATAAAAATAAAAAGTCCTCACACCACTGTTCCTATAAGAATGTTCCTTGAGCCTTTAGAAAATTAGCAAAGAGCCAGTACATTTAAGGTAGTTAAGCAATACACCTATAAAAAAAGCACAGCACCCTTTGTGGACAGAGGGTGGGTACTACAGTATATAAAAACATACGAAAAGTAGAAGACTGCCTACCGGTATGCCCAGAGGACACAGTCTTTGTGCGATTGCTCACTGCGACACGCAAGACTGTCTTGCCCTGGCAGATGCCACCCGCTGACCAAACCTTCCCTCCCCATTTCACACCAGCATTCAGTTATTCTTTAACTTCTGCATACCTCGTGCTCTGTCCCAGAACCTGCAAGAGGCGGGGTGATCCTACATCAGAAAAAAGACTAGCAGATACATATGATTAAATGGTTCCATGTCAAACGACGATGCGAATAGCATCAAGTCCCTTCTGCGTAAGCCCGTCCTAGTATTCAGAGCACAAGGTGCAGAGGAGAACAGGTGTGCTCTGCACGAACAATGGAAAAGGGAATTTCCTTGATCTTAAGAAGGATTAAGATGTTCTCAAACAGATGGGCTAGAAGACAGAGTAGCACACACCCTTGTTTTATCTGCCAAAAAGACTCCGAGATGCAGTGTAATACAGAAAGAAGCAAGCAGGTTATGTTCTAATCCAGGATATCTAGCAGTGACTGGGCTCTGGCTGTCCAAAAAGAGAAAACCTGAACCTCCACAACAGAGCTTTCAGCTTGAAGACTGTCAGGTACTCAGGAGCCACAGGGAGCTAAAGAGGGGTATCAGCCAGTTTTTGCAGTCAGCAGCTAGAGGATCTGAAAGATCTGATATCTGCTGGCATGTCCAGCATTCCTGACGATATATTGAAAAGCGAATCTGATGTTTTGTCTCTGGAACTGGTACCTCAAATGCTTCTTAGCGGGGGGCTGAATACTACACCACCACGTTATCAATAGTTGCGCAGCAGTCAGTCATCACCAACCCATAAGGTCTCAAGGAAGGAAAAGGAAGTGCAGCAGACCTCCTTCACATTTCTCAACTCTGATACACCAGTATCTGAATCATCTCATTTACTAAAAATCTCAGGTGAGATCAGTATTGACCCTACAAATAAGTTTTAACCTAAACTTGTACATGGCCTGTATGACCTTAGCAAAGACTTCTGGTAATTTAGCAAAAGACCGACTATGCACAACAGTATCCTGCAATCTAATAAAAGCAGACATGATCTTCTGCAACCATACCGTCATTTGAAAAATAAGTTGTTGACCACAAACAAAACATCCTCACAGCTGTGGGAAGGCTGAACAAACCAATAGTCATAATGATGATTGAGCAGGATGGTACAAGACAAATAGGCAAAGTGAACTTCTGTAGAAGATACTGGGACGGATTCTTTGAAGATCTGGATTGCAACCCAAGAACACAGCCAGACTGCAGAGGCATAGGCATGTCCCAGATCAATATCTATAGAAAAACAGTTGTCATGAAAGCAAAGACGGTAAAAAAAAAAAAAACCACCACATTAGAAGGGGAACATAATGTAACTGAAAAAAAGCACTGCTTTTTGCACAGGTAGTAAAGAAGAACTGACCTCCTGAGGCATGTTCCCATTCTATGCATTCCAACACAATACGGGTTGAGATGGTCTGGAAACAAATAGGCTATTTAACCATGTTCTTCACATACACACCATCAGAAATACAAACACTTTTATGGACAGTCCCTCGAAGAAAACTCTACCTTTGGTATCCTCAGAAGAGGACTCCAAATAGCATCCCAAACTTGGTTAAGCTGCCACTATTCAAAATAAGCATAAAGATATTTAAGCAGTCATTCCAGGCCTGTCCAGAGGTCCATCTATGTAAGTATTTGGTATTCTGAAGCAGACAAAAAGAAGAAAATAGTATAAAGAATAAAGAAAGGACATATTAATGTTTCCTCACTTTATTATCCCAATCTCCAGCAGTTTGTTGCTCAGAAAATTCCTGAGCTGGATATGTCTACCCTGACAGTCTTCAGCCAACTCTTCCTACAGCCATTTGCCCAATCATTACAAATCCTTACACATTTTTCAGCACTCACACCACCTCACCGCTGCCGCTTTTTTTTTTTTTGGCTTTTGAACCTGCCAAGAGCAGAACTGACCAAATTTCAAATTGGCATGCCTGGATCCATTCCGATTGCTCCATCTGATATTAGGTTTTTGAACTGCCATCCCCTCTTCCTTGGTCATACCTCATAACGATGTTGTTTTCTTTCTCATTCCTATCACTATGCATTGGTTGATACTGCACTGACATTTGGTTGCTAACATTGAAGAGGTAACTTTTATTACTTCCCAATTTTGAGTCAGAGGACATTAAGATGTTAACATTTACTTGTTTTCATGTCCGTCTTTTCAGTTTCCTATGCATGTCAGACTTCTCCTATGCATCTTCTAGATTCTTCAGAATCTCAACCTACACCCTTCCACAGCTTTTACAAATCTTACCTTCTTTAATTTCACGAGCACAAGGAAGGTGGAATAGAGGCAGCAAAAACAAAAGGCACATCTACATCTTCCTTCTAAGGGGTCTCCACTTTCAAATACACTCACACTTTGAAAAGGAATGATGCATCATATGTCCAGATCTCAACAGTCTTCCTAAACTCTGGTCTTTGATTTTTATACAGACATTGTCTAATGTTCATGGAAGTTCTTGCTAACAAACTTTATTAGAGACTCAGTTTGATGTTTTAAAGTCAGAAACTAAATTGTCAAGTTCAAGATGTTTATTAAAAGGATAAATCATGTATGAATACACCAGTAAGTCATCAATGGTTCACAGGAAAAGAATATCTACTCTTACGCAGAGGTGACATGAGTGTTTACTTACAAATGCAAGGATGAAGGCTGCTAAAGAGCAGATTAAGCCCAAGAGGCCAAGAGGAGACCCCCAGTTCTACCTTACGATGGAAACAGTACCTCCAGATGCCAAATGAAGTTAGTTTGCAGCCAGCAAGATCATTAAGTGAAAGATGCTGCAGCACTGGGGGAGAAAGTGGGTGGGGAGGGGGGAAATAGTCAATGAAGACAGACTGGTGGAGCTGGAAACCATGCACTTCAACAAGCAGGCAGCCATGGAGCTCGCACAACTGAGGCAGCAGAGAACTGAAGACAGAAAGGTACAGAAAGGACAACTCAGTGGCAGAAAGCACACCAGCACCAACTCAAACGACAGCTGAAAAGACACAACACACCTGGTTTCTCATCTGTAAGATGGTTAGTTTACAACCCCACTAGGTGAAGCGAA